TTCACATTCTAAAATCAGCTGATTGAGATTTAACACGTAACGAACCGAGTTGAGGTCAAAATCCACCCGAACTCTTGTTCTCACAACAGGGGAAATTGAGTCGTAGTTACTGCTACATATAAGCGACAAAAGGTCGAGACGCAGTGTCTGAGATAAGGTCGAACTTCATACCCATTCTCTCTTCGCTGTTCACGTTTCTGCCCTCATCGATGTCACTCACCGCCACTTGTCGTTACTGTTGAGCTGTCCTCAACCGTATTCACACACATTACATCGAATGTCCTTACCTCCTTCTCCCTCCTCTCCTCCTCATTTTCCTTCTCATCCACCTGTTCTTCCCTGATCTTTCCCTCTCAATCTCCCCACCCATCTATCCACTCAATACTAATTTACCCGAATTTCATCTTGCCACCACGACGGACCCTTTTTCTCATATACATTTCTGCCGGTCTTGTACATTTAGTTCATTTTTTTGTCGATATTTTTAGAGAAAAAAATCTCTCAAAATTTTAACTCCAAATACCAGCTGCTTTTTTCATTTACTTATCAGAAATTCATATCTTTTTTTTTTTTTTTTGAAAAATAGAAAAGCAAAACATACTTTAGCGAAAATAATCTGCACATTCACTCAGCGAATTATTTGACTTTCAAAAAAACAAAATAGAGAAAAAAAAGTGTATCAAGAAGAGCCGATCACACGTATTGCAAACAAACATTCTCCATTCCTTCCCACTACTTTTGGGGAATTCAAAATTCCATATTTTTCATCATTGCTGATAATCGATGTTTTGTCATCTATTCGTTTTTTATGTCTCTCACAAGTGAACATTTCGATAAGGGAAAGGTGTGGCAGTTCAGGTAAATGTAGAAGTAGGAACAGAATATTCATTAAAGCAGTGCACCGCTTTAATGAATATTCAGCTAAATCATTTGTTCTAAAATTTGGCAAAGACATTTATTGTGATAATAGGTAAAGGATATTTATTCGACAATTTGTAAATAAAATGTAGTAATACTGCCATATGTTAGCTAACAAAAGTTATATGATTTTAATAATTTTAACACTGGACGATCTGATAAAGTGATAGTTTAGTAAAAGATCAACAAAATGCTACCGCCCATACATCATTGTTGATTTCAAATTAATAGTAAACATTTATTGGTTATGTCAAATTCGAGACAATAAAATGTCGATGATTTTGTCGTTTTTTTCATCTAAATCAATTTATGTTTAGTACATCCTTCAAATTTCGGTTTAAAAAAACCGTCGTTAAACATTCATTCATTCCCATCAAAATGGAATATCTTCATCTTCCAATCGTTAATTGCTAATATATTCTGCAATTTTTGGTATTTCCTTCCTCTTCTTTTCAAACATGGAATTCTTTTTTAAAAATAATTTGTTATGCATTATGCATGGTATGTGAAAATATACATAATATATATGCGGAATTGCAAAATCACTGATGTCACATTCCCACCGATGATTGATAGTCAGTAATGAAAGCTATATAAATGTTAGGTTATAATGTAACTGCAACTGTATGAGTAACAATGATTTATATTATTTACATTTCATTTTCTTTCATCTAACAGGAATAGAAATAGAGAGGAAAAGTAATTGCATATGTTTACCAGATGTTACTTTATAAAGAAACTTGATATCTTAGTATGTTTATTCAACAATTTCGTTGTTAGCATAAGGTATGCTCTATTTTTTCTCTTTCCTTTTTTTCTGTTGCAAATATACAAATAATACGGGCTATGTGCATTTTAATCATAGAACAATGAGAACATTTATTTATCCTCAAAAAACTTTTTCTTTTTAAAAAAGGAAAATTTAAAATTTTTCAACATTTTTATCATTCATAGATTAATCCATTTTCTTTCTTTTCTTCTTTTGAATTCATAAATTTTGTTTTTTGAATTTTTTTCAAATTGTATTTTGCTTCTTTCCAATATGTTTGTTACTACTTGCTTTCTCTTCTTTTTTTGTACTGCAACTGCCGATGTACTCAAAATTTTGGTTTTGCAATGCGTCTTGTTTAATTAAAACATTTTCGATCAAACAGTTTGGTTCGGAAACTTAATACTAAAATTCATTGACGACAATATTAAAAGGAAAATAATCTAATTCAGTGAATTCACTCGAAACTTTTCAGGTATATTTTTTTCTTTTATGTGTAATAATAATTAATTGTTGGTTCATTTTGCAGTGTGAAGTATTTTTTCTTTCTTTCGAACAAACGGGTGGCAATGAATAAAGGTAGCTTGGAGGAAGCTAATCGAATGCTCAATTTAGCGCTTGAAGAGCTCAATTTTATTGCTGATGGTAAATGAATTTCATTATTTTTAGCTTTAATTAGAATTTCTATGCCATAAAACTTGACAAATATTTATTGTTGATCTATAATGCAGCAATCATTACTGATATAAATATACTTGTCATAAATTGAACTTATCTTCATGTCTTCTATAACAAAAAAGAAAATTAAATTATATGAAGTGCGTGCTCAACAAACTGATAACCATTTTTTCAAAAAGAAAATTATTGTAATTCTTTTTGAAAATTGACACCTTGATCATAATTTCTCTCTGCAGCAGTCACGCACTTTTGTCATATTATAAGTAGTATCGAAACGTACGAAACTTATTTTGAGCGTTCTGTGGAACGCTTGTAAGGAGATGAGATTGGCAGTTATAGCTGTTTAAAGCCGATGAAATGAAATTTGTTGTCGGCTAACAACATCAATAAAACTGATCATATACGATGGCGACATGTAATTGTCTGCCTCATTGTCGAAACCGATCAACTGTTCTGTATTTTCTTTTTTTCACTAATTTTGTTTCATTTTAAATAATTCGATTTTTCTACCTTAATAATTTTCTTTTCCCTCAAAAAATACTTTTATTGCATTTTCACTTGTTATTATTGCTATTTGAATAATAGATCTTTATCATCTGTTAGTGTCTTATAAAATCTTTCCTTTTTTTTTTGAAGTATCAAAGAGATTTTTGATTGATATACTTCAGCAACTTTCAGACAATGTCACTGTAATTAGAATTGATTTAAAATATTCAAACACATTAAAGCGTATGATTTGTCAATTAATTTCACATAATTCATTATGCTTAATCATATCTCTTTGACTGCATCTTTCATCAGTACAACAATTACATAAAAGTTATTTTTAATTAATATGACACAATTTTACACAATCTCATTGCAGAGATTGCAAGCTTATTTCTCAAATCAAATTTTTCTGTTTACAGTTCGTTTCGTTTCATATATGTACTTTTTATTTCACTTCTAATTCTCTACTAATTTAATTTCTGTGCTTCATTTTTTTTTGAACATATTCACTACATTTGAATAACAAACAAGCGATGTTCAAGTACATATATTTTTTTACCAAAAAAATAATCGAAAAACTTTTAAAATGAATAATCTATCAGATCCATTTTGATTTTTTTTTCTCTCACTTTATTGTAAAATGAATTCCTGGTATTTCTCGAATTTCGTTAATTTGTTATCATTTTGTATCAGTATCCTCGGACACATTTGCAAGAACGTTTATAGTATAAAAAACTCTCCAGTTTCAATTCAAAAAATTTTAAAAAGTCAACAAATTTTAAAAAGTTGATTCGTTCACATTAAAAGGGAAGCGGTCACGTTGGTATCAATAATTCAGGCATTCAAAGATAATACATTCATTAAACTTTTTTTTTTCTCTTTTCTTCCAGAGTCGTTTTAACAACTTATTGATTTCCCCTTCTCCACAGTTGGTCGGTCGACCATTATTTCGTTGCTGTACATTTGTGTATGCATGTATATGTCTGTGTGGATGAGTGTATGTGTACATGCATATGTATGGTATGTGTGTGTGTGTGTGTGTCTGTGTGTATGTATGTGTAGTTTTGTTCATCAGTATCGACATTTACAATTTTAACGATTCTTAACGATACGATTACCACCGTTCTCAGATTACATTTCATAAACATTTTGAACTTTTTTTTATTTAAAAAAAAATTTTTGCAACTTCACTAAAGAAATCACACTAATGATTGGAATGGATACGATCGTATCATTCCCATTTGCCTCAATGGTATTATCGTTCATCACTGATTGTTTTAGATTCAAATCCTTATTCTTCTTATCAAATGATTTCAATTCTTCCGCCAATTCTCGATCTACTTGTTTTTAATTGTCTGATAAATTATAAATGAAAAACCACAGTCACCAACATTATTCATTTCATATTTATTTAATGTTTTATTTATTTCCAATTGAAATTAATATTTGATTTGTTTACTATTAATGTTTTTTGTAATTTGCTACAATTTTTCCGAAAATTCAATTAATTCCATAATCTGAATAATTCACTATATCTTAACTCAGTTTTGTAAAATTAATTTCCAATCATCTTTTTCATTTTCTTTGAAAAATGAAATTTTTTATCGTCTGCAAAGAAAAAATCTAATGATGCCGAGGTGTCATTTATTTACGAAGTTTTCTCGATTAAATGTCCTATCTTTTTAATTTACAGTCGAGATAATCAAATTTTAACCGTATGTCAGCATATTGAATCATCACTATTTCAATCTAATGTTGTAATAAATGAATAAATAATTGCATTGAAAGGCATTCTTTTTTAATTGATTAAGTAATAAATTAAAATCTTCCTGAAAAATCTAATTTATTTTCATCACAACGTGAAAGCCGGCAAGAGTTGGCAACATCAAAGTACAGCGAAAGATAGACATCCTATAAGCTTTGTACAAGTCATAAAACCATACCGCATATCGGTTGAACTCTTGATAAATATTTAGTAAGGTAATTTCATAGGATTGTTTAACAGTTATTATACAAGTCTGAATAATTAGGCAGCTCGTTTCAATAGTTGATAAGAAAATGAGAAAAAGATACGATGGAATTAGGTCGTAGGAGTCTGTGGCCAAATTTCTGATTGGGTCGGTAGCCGAGAAATACCAAATTAAAGATGGATGAGTGCTTCATGAGGCACAAAATGTGCGTAATTGGTTGGATTTTGCGTAGTTGGTGGTTGGAAATTGTATGTATTGTTCAGTTATTTAAACTGATATTAGGTGATATTAGATTTCCGACAATTCAAATTAAGCTAAAATTTGGTTTCTTAAAATATTTCATAAAAATTTTACACTTCTCTAAGATAAATTTTTGCAGGTTGTTTATTTGAGATTAATCTCTTTGTTTGTTTATGAAGTAGCAATTATCTTTGACAAGGCTTGCATATCATATATGTGATTAGTTTTCATAATGTAGCCATCATAGAATATTATTATTTGCACTAATTACCTTCACTATTCCCATCATTTATTGTACTTTTATAAAAATATTTTTTTAAATTGCATTTTAATGCAATTTAAAATGTTAGAAATTTGACCTTATTTTGCATCTTTATGGGATTTGCTTATCGAGTTCCGATTGAAAATGCAGATCAGTGGGCATGAAAGAAAATTTCAGGTGCTCAACAGAAAAGTGGTGTCGAGATTGCCAAAACGATCCTTCAAACAAAACGAAAAATGAGTAACAACGAGAATACCGCCTCAGAAAAAGCTAATGTTGCAGTTAGTAGTGTGCAGGTATGTGATACACTACAGTTATCTCACATTTTTCTTTTTTTTTATGTAGTTAGTTTCATTTCTGTTCACAACTTGTTCATTGACGTTCTGCAAATTGACGTCAAAACCTTCGTATAGCAATTCACTGAAATTGTTGTCCTCAAATTTCGAAAGCGACCATTATAAGGCAATTTTTTCATTCATATGATAGAAGAAATAATATCACTCTGCTCCCTTTTTTCTCTTCAGAATTTCATAAAATGACACTTTTGTAAAGATAAAGAGAGTCCACAGAAGTCTCTTTCGAATATCAAAATTAGGGGAAACTCATTAGAAGCTAATTTTTAAAATTTCATTTCCTCACATTATTTATTTCTTGGTTTAATCTAAAAATATGCGAAAAATAATTCTCGATTTATTTGTGATCAATACGATATGATGTATTTTTGTTTCTTACTTTCCAAGTAAATGTTGAAATTTTTACAGACATTAAATTGGGATTCGTCAATGAATGATTGGATGGATTACGGGAATGAAAATCATCGTGATTCAGGTACAAGTAGCAGTGATGGGATGCCTACTTCAGATGCTCCTACCTCATCTACTACCTCAAGCAGCATCAGTATTTTTGATGCCCTTCTACAGGTAAAATTATGAGACGCGAAAGTTGACTTTGCTATTAATCGTAATATTTTAAAATTGCTTAATTAGCACGCATTATTAATTTGGATTTTCACAAGGTTAAATTCCTTCACAATCTCAAAATAAATGTTTAAAAAAGTAGAATTTAATGATCATAGTGGGTTTCTGTGATGCTTATTCGAAATCTAACCATTTTTAAATGATAAATGAATGTAAACACTCAAGTGAAATGACATTTGGTAATCTTAGTAATTTCTGTCATAGCCATATTACTCATTTTTAATTAAAATACGATAATTTCGTCACGGGTTGAGTGGCATCATTGTGGTAATTACAAATCATAGTGAGACATCTGTTTGGTAATAGGATTCAAGTAGGTCTCATATTTTCATCGGCGAAAATCATACGATCTCGAACGACCGATAACTCAGCCATCTGCTGGATAGAACAGAATGGCTTAATAGTATGAGCTTATCTTGAAGAGGTAATACATGTCCGTATCTAATGTGCAAATAGCGCTATTATCGATAGACAGATACACTGTAACGGATGATCTGATTATCTGATAGTAATTAATACAGTTTACATAATTTTTCATTTACTATTACTGAATTCCATTTCAGTTACAATTTCCCAGAATCAGAATAAATCAAGCTTTGTATAATTAGAGGAATTTTTGTATTAGTATTGCGCAATAGACGGTTGTTTACAGTTATTAGAAATTTACACTGTTCAGGGAGAGCGGAATAAATGTCATGGGATTTTACACTTTACTACCAGATTTGCAAGTTCAGCTGACTGGTCATTAAACTGCATTACTCATTTGTGGTTCATTATCCCTTAGTGACAGACACAACAATTTTTGTCTTCATTTGAACATTATTTACAATTTCATGTTAGTTGAATTAATAGCAGAATTTACCAGTGATATACGAATAATCGGATGTTATTCAACCAATTTGTGCTAGACTACTACATGCGCAACTTATCTCTTTTATATTTAAAAAGCTTCCAGTCAACTGCTATTTATACTTCAGTCAGACTGAAATAATTTAGGCGTAGCATGAACATAGCAACATGCAATGCTTAAATTTAAATACATTAACGCAACACATTCTTAGCATCCAAATAGTAGAATGATGAGCGAAAAGTGGAAGAGATGCAAGTAATTACTTGGAAAGGTAATTAGCATGATTCACCACAATTAGTCAAATTGATTTTTATGAATTTCATAATATCAACCATTTGAGCATGTGTGTTTATCCGAACTGTCAGTTTTTGAACATCACGCCTTTCAATTTACATTATCCCGCTATCAAGTTAAACACTTTTTCTTTTTTCTACTTCTGATATTACCTGGACTTACAATTTACTCTCGAAGTGGGTTAGCAACAGCGGTTTTGCGCGGTATAGTAATATTTATATTTTTGAAATTTTTCGTCTGTAAGATAAGGTTCCATATGAGTAAAATTAAACTAATTAATGGATAACAGATATGTAAAAGAAAATATCATTAATATGAAACGGTGATATGACATGATCTGATGACAACTAATGTATGACGTATTTGAAAGAAGAGGTATAACAAAAGAAAAACAAAAGAAATTTTACTTTACTAGAAATCACAATATTACTATCAGTTTTAAATCCTGAAACTGAAATGCAGCCAATTTCTAGTGGATTTGAATAGATTAAATGCTATTATTTTCTCGGCTAATTTATTCAATTCTTGTTTTACGGAAGAATAATTCTCGGCCTAAAACATCTATAAAAATACTCTCTTTGAAACGACGCAAAATTGCAAAAGGTATAATAAAACAGATCAGATATGGTGTGAATGCTAACTTCATTAGTAAAAGAGTAATTAATGTATAAAATAGTAATTTTCTAGCAATATAAATTGTATGATTTTGTGTAATGCATGGATATATTCGATATGTTTTTTTTAATATTTTTGACCACATAAAATTTTTTAAGGCAATTGATCGAAACGAGATATCGAGTAAGCCTGATCTAGAAACACGATTAAAAATTATGAATTGGCTATGTACCACGGAGGAGATCAACAAAATAGTAAGTCTATATTTGAATTTTTATAATTTGTTTCGGAAATTCTGGACTTTTCTAACCCATCGGCTAAAGAAATAAACATCACAGTAAATATCATCGATGTAAATTATAGTGAATACTTAATGTGACTGTTTTGGAAGAAAAAATTAACAAATTGTTTAAATGACATATTTAATATTGCCTCCGAAGACCATAAATTAAAAAGAAAAAGTAACGAATAAGTTTAGTGTCTTTTTCATCTTCGTTCTTTTAATTTTCATTGCCATTATTTAAATCTTTTTTTTGCTTTTTGTTTTCAATTGTTCCAGCATTCTTTAAATCATATTTAATTTTAGCATATAAATTTTTAAACTTCAGCAATTTCTGTTTAAAAATCAGAATTGGCATATAATCATAAGATATGTGAAATTTATGCAAAATAACGCTCTGCTATGTTTAACATTGTGCTTTTGTTATGAAATCATAATTGATAATTAAATAATGCTGAAATTTATTTCAGCTGAAAAAAACTGTGCTTCTACAAGAAAATGTAAGATATGCTTCTTATTGGGATAGTGATATAGGAATTGTAATAGTTAGGCATTAATTTGAAAATAGCATAATAAATTGTTGTAAAAGTCATTAATGATGAAGTAATCTAAATCACAATCATTCCTCTATCAATCTTTTTCGAGAAACTATGGCAAGCAATCTAAATTGAATAACATGATTGCTTTTGATTTTGGCAACGATGCGCATTCTCATTAATGATTATAAGATAAGCTTCAATTTTAAATCATAGTTTATGGGAGACAAATGACTACCTTTCATTTCGCAAGTCCATATTGTTGTTTATTAGATGAGGTTTTTTCTTTACTCAAGAGTGTATAGTTAAATATGGAATTACTTAATGGTATACGAAAGAAAACCGTAAAATTATCGGTAATAATCGCTACCATCGTTTTTCTTCCCCCCCNNCCCCGCGCATGAGCGATCAATATGATTATTATGATTGGCAGTGAAAATTTATGATTTCATCTGAATGTTTTTATTTTTAATATGTCCAAATTTTTATATGGAGAGAAGAAAAAAGTTTTTTAGAGGCAAATGTTATCATCAACATTTTGCAACAAATAAAGAGCTAAAGGATATACTGTTATTTCGTTTTCTATTTATAAATTTTATTTTCCAATAATTGTACCAAATTTCATGTCGTATATAGATGTCATTAGCTATAGTTAATGTAATTACAAAAATTTTAGTGAAGATTAAAGCAACAAATTATGCCTTATAGATAATGTATAATTATTATCATCTTTGCATAACAAAAATTAAAGTATTAAATCCAATATCTCAATAATTTTTTCTTAAGATCTATCATTTGCCTTGATAAAAAAATCTATTGATCTGTCATTTCCAAACAAAAAATTTAACATTAAAAAAGCAATGTGTTCGATCAATTCCTATCTCATGCCAGCAACAATAATCTGTCATTTTTCCCATTACTGCAATACCATCGTGCTAGGAAGATTATTATAAAATTTGTGGATATGTAGCATTTATCATATGGATGCTAGCTTATCGGTGAGAAATTCCGTTTTAAAAATTTTTCGAAAGCTCAAATTGTAAAGCTAAGGAATGTTGATTCGTGGAACAGTTGCTGTTGTGGAATGTGTATGTGAATGGGTATGTAGGTGTATGTGTGTGTGTGTGTGTGTGTGTGTGTGTGTGT